GTATTATTGTTGATCGTATTATAAAAAAGAAAGCAATAGTAAGTTTATATAGCTTAACATATTTTAAATAACTAGCTTGAATTGAGAAGGAATCCACCTTCCCCTGAATTTACACGAAGTATCCGTTTTCTACCAAAATTCAATTAAATTATGAAAGTAATCTTTTAAAATTTCCTTGTATGTTTGTGATGGTAAACATTATGAGAAAACATTTTGATTTGAGTTGTGTAGCTAAATTTAATATCCAGGGCTTTTCATTTTATTTCTCAAAATTCTAGAGAACCTAGGGAAATACCAACAAATGATAAAGTTATGGAAGCATAAATTGAAAAGCTTACCTAGAATTACAAAAAAGAAATTCATATGCTTCTACCTACCCCTGCTGTTTTCACAACCAAGTTTTTCTTGAACAAATATTAAAAACTCTTTTTTTTGTATCAAGTAACCAATGTCTGAGAAGTAAATCTCAAATTCAACTTAAGAAGAAAAGAACTACTGTATAGAAGCTTTCAAAAGCTAGAAAGACTTAACTACATATTGACATATAATGGTGTTTGTAAATTTTGGAAGCACCCAAAGTGCCTAAAAATAAAAATAAAAATAATTACATAAATCATCATATGAAAAAATATGCAGTTATTTAAATTATATTGTGAAATAGTACATCATGGCATGAGACAGTGTTTGTGATTTATTAAATAAAAAGAATCAATTATACATATGTTGCATAAGACCACTGTTATAAAGTCAATTTTGGCCTGGCCAGCATGGCTCTGTGGTTGAGTATCAACCTATGAACCAGGAGGTCATGGTTCAATTCCTGGTCAGGGCACATGCCTGGGTTGCAGGCTCAATCCCCAGTGTGGGGCATGCAGGAGGCAGCCTATCAATGGTTTTCTCTCATCATTAATGTTTCTATCTCTCTCTCCCTCTCCCTTCCTCTCTGAAATCAATATATTTTTTTTAAATAAAGGGATGGAGAAAGATGTACCTTTCTAATATAATCAAAACAAATCTGGAACAGCTAGCTAATTCCAGACAAAGACAACTTCAGAACAAGGAAAAATATCAGGGATAAGGAAGGGTGTTAATGATTAAAAGGTCAATTCTCCAAGACGACATAGCAATCCTTAACCTGACTGCATCCAACAACAGAGCATCAAAATACAGGAGGCAAAAACTGATGGAACTGCCAGGAGAAAGGGCAAAGAGACTATTATAGTTGGAGACTTCTAAACGACAGATGCAGCAGGCAGAAAATCAGTAGGACAAGGTGAGCTGAACAGCACCATCAATCAACTGGATTTAACTGATCCTTGTAGAATCCTTCATCCAACACCAGCAGAATACATTCTTCTCAGACTCGCATGGAATAATCACCAAGATAGACCACCTCCTAGCTCATAAATCACACCTTAGCAAATAGAAAATAGAAATCACACAAAGTATGCTCTACAACAACATGAACTTAAATTAAAAATTAATAATGGAAAGTTAGCTGGAAAATCCCCAAGTAGTTGGAGGCTAAATGACACACTTATAAATAATACATGGGTAAAATGGGAGTCTCGAGAGCAATTTTAAAATGTTTTTAAGGAAGAAACATCGAAATACAACTTATCAAAATTTGCGGGGTACCATGAAAGCAGTACTCAGAGGGAAGTGTAAAATGGGACAGCCACTCTACTCTGGAAATCCCATTGGCGATTTAAAACAAACACCGAAGTATGCCACTCCCATTGGATCCAGCAACTGCATTCCTGGGAATTGCATCCCGAACAGATGAAAATTTACATCCACACAAAATCCTGCCCTCAAATGTTTATCGCAGCTTAACGTATGACAGCCACAACCTGGAAATGACGCCACTGTACTTCAGGTGCAATAATTAAACTACCGACAGTACAGCCGTACAGCCACCCCACGGAAAACTACTCAACAATAAAAAGAAACACTTGATATGTGTGACACCCTGGATGCATCTCCGGAGACTTACGCTGAGTGAAATGCCGATCTCAAAAGGTCACATAAAGTATCGTTCCACTTATAGAACATTCTTGAAATGATGCAATTTTAGAAATGGAGGACAGGTGATTTGTCAGGGGCTTGGAAGGGGGTGGTGGTGGGAGGGAAGTGGGTGTGACTATAAAAAGGCACATTCGGTATCTTTGTGGTGATGAAAATGTTTTGTATCTTGATTGTATCCAGGTTGTGATATAGAGGCAAAGAGTCAAAGGTACAAGGGCTCTATTTGCATTATTTCTTACAACTGCATGGGAACCTGTAATTATTTCAAAATTGGAAGTTTAACTTAAATGATAGGACTGTGGGTCACATTGGGTATACACATTGATCTGTAGCCTTAAGATCTGTGCATTTTGTTGCATGTAAATTTCATCTCAATTTTTTAAAAAAATGATGTAGCCTCTTTCCCACTGACTGCTTTTCAATAAACCAGGGCAAAAGATGATCATAAGAATATGAGGTAAAACTTGCACATTATACTGTAATTTCTCATAAATTCCTCTTTTGTGTGCTTCTTAGAGACTTCCTTGAATCAGCCTAACTTTAATAGAGCTCAATTGATATTATTTCTACTTTCTAATCATTTATAGTCTTGCCTCCAATTTGGGTAACATTGTTTAAAGTATATCCCAGCTGGTCCGAGCGCAGTGGTGTCTTACAACTAATTGATCACAGCCAGTTACAGATTTCTTTGTTCCCCTCTCCACTCCCACTGCTTCACTTGACTAGCCTCAAATAAATAAATACATACATAAATTTTAAAAATTTTAAAAATAATAAAGTATACCCAGGAAGATTCCTTAACATATTGAGTAAGCTATCTTTTGTCACTTGTATTATTAGATATATTTATGGAACAATGGCAATGGCTTATTAGGAGGTGGAAAGTTTCATAAAGAAATCATTTAATATTATGAAACAAAACTGCAAGCTATCCCACAAAGTTCTATATAATGCACCATAGTAATTTAATTACAACATTTACAAATTGTGAAACTTTAAACTTTAATAATCAAAATAAATTAGAAAACTAAAGATGATGGCTGAAAACAATTTTTATAAATGGTCCCTAATCATTTACAAAAAGCTTCATTTTATTACCTAATAACTTAAATTTCATTGTTTGTTTGTTTTTTTTTTGAAACTCAGTTCTTTACAGAATCTTTACTTAAAAGATGATATTTCCAGAACATTTGAGATCTTGCTCCACAGGATGTCCTCCGTTTGGCTCAAATAAACTCTTATATGTGATTGTCAAAATTTATTTTTATTCAGTCTCCAGAGATTGTCAAAAATTGCCAATGCCAACTATGTTTCAAGTCATCATGGCAAGGTATCAAGAAAAGTTTTCAATTAGCAATAATCATGGCTCAGATTAACCTCATTGGTTACGATACTACCACTGTGTAAAGCTTATCAGAATATTTTTTACGATTTTTTATAATCTAGCCAGAGGAAATATTTATATTTAACATGAATATATTTCCCATAAGTATCTGGGAGTGTTAGAATCATAGAATATTGAAACTAGAAGGTCCTGAAAAAAATTTTGTTCAACCATCTCAATATATATATATAGGAGGAAATTCTTACCCACGGACACAAACTTCCAGTTAATGTGCACTCAATAAATATTTATTTAGCGCCCTCTACTGGAAAGTCCTGTTAGATTGGCCAGGGACACAGCAGTGAATGAAAGGAGAGGAAAACTCCTAATCTCAGAGTCTATATAATCTAGTGAGGGGAAAAAGACAAATAAATATGTGAAATACATAACCCAACAGCTGGACAAATATGCTATGAAGGACAATGAAGCAGAAAAGGGGAAGTGTTGTAGAAGGAAACTAATTTTGAACATACAGTGGTCTGAGAAGGTCTCAATGACCCAGGAGGAAAGGAAAGGATCACATGAGTAGATGAGCTTTCTGGGCAGAGGCAACAGCCAGCCAAAGGTCTGAGGAAGATGCATCCTCAGCCTGTTCCAGAGACAGCATGGAGGCTGGAGTGGCTGGAACAGAGCTGGGAAATGGAGATGATATCCCGCTCTAGTTGAGAAGAGGCTTGCAGGCCTTTGTATGGACTTGATTTTCATCACATAAGAAATGGGGAGCTCTTGAAGGTTTTTGAGTAGCGGAGTGACCTACCTTAACTTTGGTTCACGTGGAGAGAAGACAGGGAGACAAGAACAGAGACCAGTTAAGAAGCTATAAATTAACCCAGAGGACAGGTGACCCTGTGGGACCAGGATGGTAGATATGGAGCTTGTGAGAAAGGGTTACATTTTTAAAGGAAGAACCCGGAGGAAGTAAATGGCAGAGGTAGGGCAGGACCCAAGTTTCTGGTGCCCTTTTTTTTTTTTTACACCATGTTGCTGAGTTAACTTCCAAGAAACAATTTGATTTCTGCGTTACAATTAAGGATGAGAGTTGCAGTGTTTAGTATGCAGCTAAGCACAGCTCACACGCTTGGTGACTCTTTCTCTGCTTCGAGGATCAGCTGGCTGAGCAGATGCGCAGTCATAGATGATGGGTAACAGTAAGTGCCAACCTGATGGGCCACGGGGTGCCCAGATGCAACATTATTTCTGGGTGGGTGTTTTCAGGTGAGGTTAGGATTTGAATCGGCAGGCTTTGTAAAGCGACTGTCCTCCCCAGTGGGAGTGAGCCTCAGCCAATCCACCTCGGGCCAGACTAGAACAAAAGGTGAGGAAGGAGGAATCTCCTTTTTCTCCTGCACAGGACGATGCTCCAACCAACTGAGCCACACCAGCCAGGATTATTTATTTACTTTTTAATATATTTTTTGTTGTTGATAGTATTACAGATATCTCCCATTTTCCTATATGCTTTATTTTAAAGAAGTTTTATTTGTATAAGAAACAAGATAAATTACATATTTTTTAAAATTACATATAAGGACACTACAGGAATAGCCTCTAGACACCACTGTTGGCTGGTTCCAAAGCTCAAAGGGCCTCAGGTAATAACGTATCGGGTGAGTCCTCCCCCTCGGACCTCGGACAGCCGCCGGCAGTGTCGTAAGATATTCAGCATAACATGAAACCTCTTGTCAACTTTCAAAGCCGTGAACTCCTTTATGTCAGCTTCCACTACAAAATAATGACCTGCAAATAAAGATATTTGTGCTAACTTTTATAAGGACAACTTTAAGATGAGTCTTTGTGATTATGAATGGCACTAATCATGTTTACTATCATTATCCAACTAACGTGAGAAACGGTATTCTTGCTAAAATAACAATTATTCTTTCAACTGAAGTTGCATAATGTTTACTGTAGCATTTCAGTAACGTAGCCCTGCTTATTATATCACTAGCAATCTGTTGCTATCTTTTGAACAATTCACTTTTTAAGAGCTAATTTGAGATGGAGGATAAGAGAACGAGACTCTCAGCAGCTCTATCACTTGAGTGGCTGAACTTGAACAAGTAACTTGGGCTCTCCTTTGCCTGGTCTGCAAATGGAGTAGTGGTGGCCAGTACCTCCTGAGAACGTGATGAGGACTGAAGCTCCCTTGGAATACCATCTGGCACACAGGAAGTGCTATATAAGCATGACCAACTGTTATGGTTACTATTCTAATTCTGGACACACTGGTTATAGTTCTATAAAAACTCTAAAGCAGTGTTTCTCAGCCTCAGCACTACTGACATTCTGGGTGACATAATTCTTTTTTGTGGGAGCTGTCCTGTGTGTTGGCGAGGACTTTAGCAGCATCCCTGGTCTCTATCCACCAAATGCCAACTCAACCCCGGTTGTAGCAACCGAAAATGTCTCCAGAGATGGCCAAAAATGTCCTGTGGTGGGAAAATCACCCCCAGTGGAGAATGAACTCTCTAAATCTAAAATGTTCTAGAATTAGTTTTGTTTCTCATGAATTATTTACACTCCAAACAGATGGCAAGTATACATATACGTATATGCTGTCATCTTACCTTTGGTATCCTTTGTTTCTTCATCCATGAATCTGTGATAGAGATTTCTGGCCACAGAACTCATAGACTTTTTTGGTTGATGTAGAATCTTATATTTACTAACTACTGCCTTGTTGATTTCTTTAATAACATCATTAATTTGACAGTAGGTTAAGCGGGATTTCATGTACCTGTAAATAAGTAGATGATTAATGTTTTTTTAATTATTTTGCACAAAATATTTTCTTTGAAAAATATTTATGATGTTATATTTAATCTTCTTATTTCTCTTATTCATCAAATAACCCCTTAGTTTAAAAATTAATACTCTACCATTTAATTTCCTTCTTTTATCTCTTTATGAAAGCATTTTCTAAAAACCTTTCTACTCCACAGTTCTTCCCTATAGTTCAGCCAATGAGCAAAAACAATTTAAAAAACTGAACAGCTCAAATAGAATTTCATGAAACAAAGTTGTCAATAAAGGAAAAGACTGAGCGACCAACTCCCCAAAGATTAGAGAGAAATGTCAGCCTCCTTATTCGTCCCAGAATTATCCAACAGCCAGTGTTTTTCAAGTCGCCATTAAGCATGTGGGAAGATGCTCAACATCGTATGTCATTAGGAAACTGAAAATTAAAACAAGATACCACTGCACACTATGAGAATTGCTAGTTGCTAAAATAGAAAAAATTGACCAAGCTGATGCAGGTAAGGACGTGACGCGCTGGTAAAGCTCACTCATTGCTGGTGGGAACGCACAATGGCCCAGCTGCTTTGGAAGTCAGTTCGGCAGTTTCCCACAAGGCGAAACATACTCCTCCCGAGGGATCTAGCAACCTCACCCTCAGAAATAACGGTTCAGGGAAATTTCTCTTAGGCAAGTCTATTCTGTAATTCCTTGAGCTAGAGGTCTAGGAGGAAAGCATGATTATTTTACTTTCCTGAGAGCTGTCTATATCAGTTGTAGTTGTTTTCGTAATAATAAAAAGACAACCGATTATATATGTGAAATTAAATAAAATCTATAAGGAAATACTCTATCAGAGTAGAATTATAATCATTTTCGACAACAAATATTTTCTAACTACATCTATATTATAAAAACTCAGTGGCCCTGACACCGTAACAACCAAAGACCAGCACGGGTGGGTGGGACTGTGCACGTGGTGAAGGGTGCACAGGTGGACGGGGCTGCAAGTGCGGCAGGGCAAGCACAGGTGGGCCAGGCTGCACGATTTCGCGTGCTGGGCTTCTAGTGTGTTATAAAATAATAAAGAAAAATGTAATGATATAAAACCAAGAAGTGAAGTGAAGCCCTGGAATTATGAGAGTTTAAAAACACAATTCCCATAACTCAGTGGTCAGCAAACGCATTAGTCAACAGAGCCAAATATCCACAGTACAACAATTGAAATTTCTTTGGAGAGCCAAATTTTTTAAACTTAAACTTCTTCTAACGCCACTTCTTCAAAATAGACTCGCCCAGGCCATGGTATTTTGTGGAAGAGTCACACTCAAGGGGCCAAAGAGCTGCATGTGGCTCGTGAGCCGCAGTTTGCCGACCACAGCCATAACTGGTTTCCCAAGGCTATCAACTGTAAAGTGCAAAGGAGACCTGCATCTAGGCAAGGCATGTTGTGTTATTCACCCGTTTTCTCCCAGAGACCCAGGCCCAGAATAGAGCCCAGACTCAAATTTAAGCATGTGACGTAAGTTAAGGGACAAATGGAAAGACAAACACAACACTCTCCATTCTAACCTCAAATCTAAACAACACACTTGCTTTACAAATCACAGCAAAACTGAGGCTACGTCTAAAATGTACGGGGATAAGTCTAAATCACAAAATGATCCTGGAGAGGATCCGGCAACAAATTGACCCTTCTCTGAATCTCTACATGATTTTAAGCATTTTAACAAGAGCTTCCCTGCATAGTCCAATACAAAGATCATTTGAACACAGCATATGATGATGAATATAATCAAGCCTTGTGACTTAAACAGTTATGTATGTTGATTACTAAAGAGTTGAATATTAACATAAATACTTACGCAGGAATGCCATTAAACTCCTCAGAGGTTATAAATGGCATCTCTTTAATATTCCTTTGCTCTTTAGAGGGCTTCTTTGTGACTGCAGGTTCCTCAACTTTGACAGGTTCTTCAGAGTCAAGATCTGATACATTTCCACTATGGAAGACAGATGCACAGCATATAGGCAATCATCATAACTGTATGCATACTGGGAAGAAATCAGTATCCAACACATGGTGCAGGTCACAGAACTCCAAAAACAAGAAGATGGACAACAAAATAACCTGATAGGAAGAATCAGGGCTGAAGAGGGATTCTGACCTCTTTATAACCTCCAACAACCAGTTTCTGAAGTGTGGTAGCAGCCAGATGTTAACTGCTCTGGGAAGAGGAGGTACAAACATACATTGGCAGTAAACAGAAACAGGACAGTAGTTTGAGGGGGAGCAGAGCTAAGTATTTTGTTCTTTTGGATCTTTTTAACATGGGAAGTGCATTAAGGTTATTTTTACCCTAAGACAGGGCCTCTGAAAAGTCAGGGGGATTCTGCCCCTCAGAGGACATATGACAAAGTCTGGAGACACTTTTCATGGTCACCATTGGTGAGGATGGGGGTATGGAGGGGAACTGAGGTGCTACTGATAGAGTAAGGGATGCAACTAAACACCCTATTCTCACAACAAAGAATGATCTGGCCTAAAATGACAAAATCTGCTCTAAGAAATGAGAAAAAGTTGAGGAAGAGATCCTAGAGGAGACTCACTCTTGGGAAAGAGGGACAACCTTTCCTTCAGAAAGAACAGGAAAGAAAGCTGGTGAAAACAGGGGAAATATGACTTCTGGTGTAAGTGACCAAAAACAAAACAAAACAGACAGCCACTAGCAAAACTGCAAGCACACAAAAAGGCAAAAAGACTTGAGGTGTTCGTTATAATACTCTCTAATAAAGAGGGAATATGCTAATTGACCCTCACGCTATCACAAAGATGGCAGTGCCCATAGCCAATAAGGAGGAAATATGCTAATTGAATGTCCCACCTCAAAGATGGCAGCACCCATAGCCACAAGATGGTGGCACCCAGTCCCCTCAGCCCTGCCAGAGCAGCAGGGGTGTAGCAAGGCCAGGCCGACCCACATACCTGCCTCCGGAGTCCCCAGTGCCCCTCAGCCTCCCAGCCACCCAGGGCTGGCCTGAGGTGCAGGCAAGCCTCAATGGCAGCTGCCTGAGGCTCAGGTAACCAGGGCCGGCCGAGGCTTGAGCTACCGGCCGTGGTAGCAGAGAGGTGAGGTGTGGCATCACCTTCCCCTGATCGCCAGGTCGCCTCCCACCCCTGAGGGCTCCCAGACTGTGAGACAGGGCAGGCTGGGCTGAGGGACCCCCTCCAGTACGTGAGTTTTCATGCACCAGGCCTCTAGTAGTTTTATACATACAGACGGCAAGAATAACTATGAAAACACTTACGAGTTCTGGGTCACTGTTACTTGAGGCAAATGGGGAGGAATGTTTTCTTTGAGATGCTCCACATCTTTATAATCTTCTTCAAGAGATGCACAGAGTTCCTAAAATTCAAAAAATGCTCATGAATAAGGGTCTGTCCTGCCTGTGAGTGTATTAAGATGTTATAGAGAACATGAAAGACCATGGAGCACAATCACATGAATTGTGAGTTTTCAGAGCACAGAAGGGGTGAAAAAGTACTGAATGCAAGCAATATTTTAAAAAGAGCCACCCTAGTCGGTGTGGTTCAGTGGACAGAGTATTGGCCTGTGGACTGAAGGGTCCTAGGTTTGATTCTGATCAAGGGCACATGCCAGGGTTGTGCGCTCGATCCCCAACTGGGGGTGTGCAAGAAAGAGCCAATCAATGATTCTCTTTCATCATTGATGTTTTTTTCTCTCTCCCCCTCTCTCCAAAATCAATAAAAATATATTTAAAAAAAAAAAAAAAAAAAAAAAGAGTTGCCCTGGTTGGTGTGTCTCAGTTGGCTGGGTGTCATCGAATGCACCAAGAGGTTGCCAGTTCCATTCCTGGTCAAGGGCACATGCCCGGGTTGCGGGCTTGACCCCTAGTAGGGGGCATGCAAGAGACAGCCCGTCAATATTTCTCTACCTTTCTCTCTCCTAAAACATCTCTAAAATCAATAAAAAACACATGTAAAAAAAAAAAAAGAAAGAGTTCAACATGGCCCATTATTTTCCAAATGAGGACCCAGAGATCCCAAGAGGTGAAATGGCTTCCTCAGGGTGGCAGAAGGTGCCTAAGAATCCACATCTCTTCCCAGGGCAGGTACTCCTTCCATCTCAGCCTACCAGGACATCATTTGTTTAAATTAAACCTACCAAGAATTACTTAGGAAACCTTCCTTTTTAATAAGGTTCAATTCCATCGTACCAACGTGAAAAAAGCAATACCTGTGAAGCTCTGCAGTGCTTTATACTGCGAAAATAAAACACAAAAGAAACTGCACCAGTGATAATTTGCAAAGCCAAGGACATTACAATCTTACAGAACCCTTAAGAATTCCCGGTGACTAAGAAATTTGTACTTATTGCCTTTTTATTCTGTTGCTTCGCTAGAACTTGTATGCATATATACATAACCCATGGGCACAGACAATAGGGTGGTGAAGGCCTGGGGTGGGAGTGTGTGTGTGTGTGTGGGGGGGGGGCCTTAGAAGAGGTCAATGGGGGCAGGAGACACATGTAATACTTTCAACAATAAAGATTTTTTTAAAAATTAGGAAAAATGTTACCTTGAGTGAATTGGTAGTTTGTTCTTGAAATTGAATTTCTATTTCCAATTTATTCAGAAGTTCATTTATTACCATGATCTCATCTCCTATTTTACTTAATATAGTCTTCGAGTTAGGGACTTGACCTATTAATAAACAAAGGTAACAAAGGTAAAATGGAAAATAAAGTGTGCATAAAAAACGACAGTGCACACATACCAACCCAACTCTGGGAACTGAGCTTTACCTTGGAGACACTTGGGGGTGCAGGAAGAGCTGTTTCAGGCCCTAGCACGACTCCATGGATAATCTTAAGACCTAATTTCTAAGTACTGGTATGGCAAGTTCCTCCACCAAAAAAAAAAAAAAACAACTAGAGCCCAGGCTGGTTTTGCTCATTGTCCCAAGAACCAAAGGGTCACAGGTTCAATCCCCCACCCCAGTCAGGCTGGGAGGCGACAAGTGAATGTCTTTCTCTCCAGTCAATGTTTTGCTCTCTCTCCCCACTCCTCCCACACTTCCACGCTCTCAAAAAATCGATGAAAACAATATTCTTGGGTGGGGGTTAAAAAAACAAACAAATCCACACAACTAGAAATGCTAGATAAAATAAGGGCCCTCTACAGGCATAACTGACCTTCATGAGAATAAGGTAAATGCTCACAAACCAGGGAATGTATGTGAGATGCTACCGCAGCAGCCCTAATCTGGGGGGAAGTGGGGGTGCAGAGGGAAGCTGGAGAGAGTCTGTCAGTCTCAGCAAGCAAATATATTTAGTTTTAATGGGGATCAAGCCAACATTTTGGATTTTCAAAGCACAGGGTGTTGGAAGTGAGAATCCCAAAGAAAGCCAGGACCCCTCTTCATGGGATGTATCTTCAGGGAAAGTGTAACCTAAAAAAATTCTAATCACTGGCCGGGGAGAAATAAGCTTATGTCTTGGTCAGCGTTCAGGTGTGTGGGGGAGGTTAGGGAGAGTTTCGCTTCAGAATGTGTAGTAGAGGGTTGGGATTCATATTTACACCAGCCACATGATTAATGACCCCAAGTGGAGAAAGTGACATAAAAAGTCCCATGCCGGTGGCGGCCCTGGGCGCCAGCCAGCCAGAGAGGCCTGAGTTTGTCAAGCAGCCGGCTCCCTTACTTCCAACTCCACCTCGCTAGCACCACAGGTTTGAGGATGGGAAAACCGGAGTCTCCCCCTCTCTAGAAATAAAACAAGTAACAAAAACCGTGTGTTGTTTTTTTCCCTTATAATCAGATCTTTACACCTTCACTTCTAACAACCAAACACACAGAAATAAAAGCACAATTTGACGATATCTGTAAGTTATGGAGGCAGTAGAGTGAAATGGCTAGAGCTCCAGGCCTGAAGTCAGAGAACTCAGTGCCTACCTCAAGATTATTGTAACGATAAGTGAGAAAAAGCATACAACATGGGCTTAGCATTGTGTCTGGAACCCAGTAAAGCACTCAGTAGGAGCTAACTCCTCCTCCTCCTCCTCCTCACAAGATGCACTATATTATTCTATCTAATAGGGCAATGCTAATTGCATTTGACCCTAGGTCTGTAACAACTAAATCAAATGAATAAAGGAGATTATTGAGGTTTTTACTGAGATTAATTTCAGGGGATTAAATAGCTAGTTGGGTACACGGGTATTTAAAATGACTTTTAGTCACCTAAATTTTAAGGCCTTGTTTACTGACTTGTAGTAATGGTAATAGTTGAGTAAATTCACTATTTTTGATAACAAGTGATCAGTATATTACAGCAGCGGAAGTGCTTTCAAATCGCCATTTGAAACGACATCACCTTTGTATTCATTCACTTAACCAGGCATAAGATATCAAAGGGGAACAGCATTCAAAATGCATTGTGTGCAAAGTCAGTGGAATCTATTCTACTTACCACAGTTCCTTAATGACAGAGATTTTTTAATATTGCCAATCTTTTCATTAATATGAGAGCATAACTGGTCCAGATCTGAAGAGGCCATCCTTTAAGCCTCTGAAGGAAATGCAAACACAATTTCAAAAAACAAGAGTCAGGCAAATGCCTGCTCACTTTCAAAATCCAAGAATGGTTCATATCCAGTAGGTCACATCCACTTCAAAATAAATTCGAGAGAGGTCAAGAACAATTTCTTTCAATTCTACAAAATTCAGTTTCTAATCAAGTCCAGTATTGACTGGTCTTAGAGCCTCCTGGAGTCTACACATCCCAAACCAAGGTACAGGAAATACGCCTGCATCATCTCTTTAAGGATTTAGGGGGGCAAATATAGAGAGACAACATTGCCATTTTCTTTAAAAAACGCAAAAATAAACACGACTTTTACAAAATAACAGCAAATGCAAAGAAACGGGTGCAGGAAAACATTTCTCCCATGCTGGGAGGCCCGGGAGGTTGGGGGGACTGGGGATTTCCTGTGTGGGGTCGGTAAGGAGGAGGAGGAGATGAGGAGGAAGGGACTCAGCTACTGTCACTCTGAGGTGGGTGAGGGCGTCGCAAGCACCCCCTCCAGGTAGCCCAGCCAACGGAGGAAGGTCAAGCCCCGCTCCTCCGCCCCCGCACCCCCTCCCGCGCGATCCCGCCCCCCCACACCCGTCCAAGCAATGCCTCCTGCCTGCTTCCGATGTCAGGATCCCCAGTTTCACGCGGGTCCGGGAGCAAAGGGCCCACTCGGGGCCGAAAGGCGAGCCACTCAAACTCTGATCTTCGCCAGAAGCCAGGGATCGCGAGACGGGACTCTGGGAGAGAAACAAATTGCCCGCCAGACCCGGAGCCGCGCAGGCGCACAACAGGCGCTCGCGGACCGCCCTGCTCAGCTGGGGTGTTGGGCGGGGCCAAAGTGGGGGTGTGGGCAGGGCCAAAGCTGGGGCACGGGGCGGGGCCAAAGCTGGGGCGTTGGGCGGGGCCACGCTAAAGCACGGGGCGGGGCCAAAGCTGGGGCACGGGGCGGGGCGTGGTTGGGCGGGTAGGAGGCGGGCCTTTGTTGCTAAAGGCTACCAGGACCTTTGCTCCTCCCACGCCACGCCACCACCGGTGCTCACAGCCAGTCAACTAAGCCTGGTCGCCATCCAGCCATGAGCCTAGCTCTCCGAGGGTCCCATGGCGACCTGGAACAGTAGGTCTCCCAATTAGAATCACCAGGGGCAGCTTCTGCAAACTCCAATGCCTAGGCTGTACCCCATGGCAATGAAATCAGACACTCTGGAAGCGGGGCTCAAGTCTTCATATATTTAAAACACCCCAGGTAATCCCAGGAAGCAGCCAGGTTTGTGAGCTCAAGACCTGTCTTCGGGGGAGTGTACAGCCTCTGTAAGGGCAAATGCACATTTACAATAAGAAGACAGTTTAATTCTCCCGGTTGACAAAAGGGGAAAGCATCCCAGAGCAGGTGTGACACCTCCACAGTCAGGAAATATCCAGGTTCCTTTCATCTTTTGGCGCCACTGTTCCGAGGCATCAATGGATTCTGGCCTTCAGGTTGCCTGTGATGCAGGCGACCCTGCGGTTCCTCTCTCGGCTGTTAGTACCAGGCAGCAGAAAAGAGGAAGAGACAGGGTAAAAAGCTCACTTACCAGCTGAGCCAGGACCTTTAAAGCTTTTTCCTGGAAGCCACAGCCAGTGGTTTCTATCTTCTTTTCACCGGGCACTCACATCTACAAAAGAGACCGAAAAAATCATTTTTAAAAATTAATTTGGACAGTTAACAGCATCCTCAACAATACAAGGGTTCCGTTTATAAGGGAAAATGAGAGTAGATTCCAGGTGGGAAATAGCAGCCTCGGCCATTTCTACTTATTCCTTTTTTTATTTTTTTTAATGCTCACCCAACGATATTTTTTCCATTGATTTCTAGAGAGTGAAAGGGAAGGAGTGGCGGGGGGAGAGAGAGAGAAGCATCGATTTAAGAGAGATATATCAATTGGTTGTGCCCCTGTCAAACCTGCAACTCAGATACATGCTTTTTTTAAAAATATATTTTATTGATTTTTTACAGAGAGGAAGAGAGAGTGACAGAGAGTTAGAAACATCGATGAGAGAGAGAGAGGCATCGATCAGCTGCCTCCTGCACACCTCCCACTGGGGATGTGCCTGCAACCAAAGTACATGCCCTTGACCGGAATCGAACCTGGGGCCCTTCAGTCCGCAGACCCACACTCTATCCGCTGAGCCAAACGGGTTTTGGCCAGATACATGCTCTTGATAGGGAATTGCACCCATGACCCTGCAGTGCTCCAGCTGATGCTCTAACCACTGGATACACCGACCAAGACTCTACTTACAATTTTTTTTAAAATCTTTTTTTTAATCTTTTATTATGAAAATCAAACAGTAGAAAGGGTATAATCAACACTCCATGCCCAACCCGTCAACCAGTTTCAGTAATTTTATTATTGCAAATCTTGCTTCATCTACACTTTCTTTTTTCCCGTTCCTTGCCTACTGGAATATTTTGAAGCAAATCTTTAGCACTTTTTTATCTAAAAATGTTTCCATAATTATATCCTAAAATAGACACTTTAAAATTACCATATTGGTATTTTTATAGGTAAATATAATATTTTATTAGTTATTCCTGAATAGCAAATATCCAGTCAATGTTCAATTTCCCCTGCTTGTATTAAGAGTGTTTCTTTTAAAAACTGTTGTGTTGTTTCATTTTGTTTTAATTAGAACCCAAACAAGATTTAAACTTTGTTATTTGGTTAATACATTTTTAAATCTCTTAATCTCTTCACACATACTTATTCAAGCTTTTTTTTTTTTTTTTTTTTTTTTTTTTTTTTGTCCTTTTGCAGGACAAAGCCTTTCATTTTAGGAGTAGAAATTCACTGTATTGGGTCAATAACCACTATAAGATTATTTCCCATAAGAAAATAAACAGGAAGAAGAGAGTATCAAGGCACTAAGTACAATGTTACCCCAATAAACTCAATTAAAAATATGTGAGGCAGCCGGGACTGGTTTGGCTCAATGGATAGAGCGTCGGCTTGGGGACTGAAGGGTCCCAGGTTCGATTCCGGCCAAGGGCATGTACCTTGGTTGCGGGCATATCCCCAGCAGGGGGTGTGCAAGAGGCAGCTGATCGATGACTCTCTCTCATTGATGTTTCTAACCCTCTATCTCTCTCCCTTCCTCTCTGTATAAAATCAATAAAATATACTTTAAAAAAAATAAATAAAAATATGTGAGTCAAAACCAGATACAAATGAAAGAAAAATGACAAATCCAATATAACAGTTTGAGACTATAACCAAATCAAAGATGTACCTAGAACACTGTATACTTCAAACTTGATAAGACAAATATTTACTTCATGGAAACGCTGGTTGGAGATCTCCCTTGCCAGCAGGCGCTAGATGGCAGAGCAGCACCATTCTTGAGAGCACCAGCAAAACAAATTGCAAATTCAGGGATATGTGGGAAGGAAGTCCACTTGCTCTAAAGGTTGTGAAGCAAAATTTCACTATCTTCTTTGTTAGCACTTGCTTTTTATTGTTATAAAAGGAGAACATATTTTTAATTGAATCTTTGAACAACACAGAAAAGTTATAAAAAAAACAAACAAAAAAAAAAAACCAGAAACTCTCATTATTCCACCTGTCATATACAAACTCAGGATCCAGATCCCGCTTCTGAAAATAAAAATGGCTCAGTGCAGACATTCCCAACATTCTCTGTAAACAGCCTCTGCTCAGCGTTTCCTCCCCTCACTGTCACCCAATGCTAACCTTAATCTCACTCCAATCCAACCTTAACCCACAACCCTCCCCCTTCCAACATGTATAAAATGCTGCTTCGTTTGGTATTCGTGGTGGGCACTGTGGATGGTAAACTTATCATTTCAACCATGGTGCAACACATTTCAAAAAATAGCCATGATACATGTTTTAATTTTAATGTATTCTAGTTTATCAATTTTTAATCAATAAAGAAATATATTTTTTTAAAAATCAATTGACCATATGTGAATGAGTCTATTTCTGGACTTCCTATTATTTTACATTAATGTATATGTCTATCCCTTTACTAATACCATACTGTCTTGCTTACTGTAGTTTTATGCTCTAACATAAACCTTATTCTTCAAATATGTTGATTCAATTAAATTGATTTCTGAGAGAAGAAGGGAGAGGGAGAAAGAGATAGAAACATCAATGATGAGAATCATTGATCAGCTGCCTCCTGCAAGCCACCTACTGAGGATCAAGCCCACAACCTGTGTATATACCCTGACCTGGAATTGAACCATGACCTCCTGGTTCATAGGTCAATGCTCAACCACTGAGCAACACCAGTTTGGCAAGCCCTATTCTTTTAGCCATAGATTGTACACTGGAACCTTAAAAACTTTTAAATTTAGATACTAGCAATAGAATCTTTCAGTCACCTTGAAAACACAAGATGGATATCCAAGCCCTCCTCTCCTGGGGCTGTAGCCTGTAAAATTTATATTTCTCATGGGACTTAGTCACTTCCCATTCTAACTCCCATGGGACCCAGTCCTTTGGTACATGCCTTCTGCCTCCTCAAATCCCAGCACTGCCCTACCTCATTCAACCCAAATCTAGGCATGTGTAAGTGCTCCTGAGCCCGGATCGCACACCAACTTCTGGTGCTGACTTGCAGACTATCACCATGTAAATTAATGGATATAATACTCAATAGATTCTTAGATTTTAAAATAAACAAGTATGTAATAATATGAACAATAAAGATTGATAAAAAAAAATAAACAAGTAAATCACAGTTCAACTCTACACAGTTTCAGACACAACCAAATATATAAAAAGCTAAAGGACAGGTGGCATATGGATGTTATTCTCTCAGTCCTAACTCCAGCTGAAATCTAACTCCTGTAGGTCCAGAAATTGTCTTGGGCTTTGATTTCAAAGATAATATAGATATATTTAGAAATGGACATCTTCAGACTTCCAGGGGCAAACCTAGAAATGCTGAACCCCCTTTTATCCTGCCTCCTACTCT